CCTCTGGAGCCGCCAAAGCCTTGCTGGACAAGGGCCCAGCTGTGCCAAAAGGCCAGTGGGCTCCCCTCAGTGGGCCTGGTGCTGGCTGGGTCCTCCAGCAAGGTGGAGTCTGCTCCCAACAACCACGAGGGCCACACAGCCATGTCTGCGATGTCCTGTGTTTGGGCCACCTCTCTGGCCACGTTCTTTGTCCATATGAAACGTGGTGCTTCCAGTGGGTTCCTCGGCAAGTTCCTCCTTCCTCGCTCTGCCCCATCCCGAGCATATCTCCAGTTGTACTTAGGGCATGGCTGTGGTCTGCCATTGAAGATGGCCATTCTATTTTATATTTTAACATTTTTATTGATTTCAGAGAGAAAAGAAGAGGGAGAGAGAGAGAGAGAGATACATCAATGATGAGAGAGAATCATTGATGGGCTGCAGAAGGCATTGATGGGATTGAGCCCATAACCCCAGGCATGTGTTCTGAGCAGAATTTGAACCGTAACCTCCTGGAAGCATCTTCTCCTCGCCAGGCCTGAAGCTGGGGTGCAGATGGCGGCCTCACTGAAGCTGTTTGTTGTCTTTGCCATTTAGGGCATTACCTGCCACGCCGGGCCACGTTTACTCTCAACCACCGCACCACGCTGGCCGGGCGAGGATGGCCATTTTAACAGGGCTGTGGTTGCTTTCCGAGTTTCAGGACTGTGGTTGTGTGGGCACTTCCGGAGAAGGGCCAGGTAAACGAGTGTGGTGACTTCTAGGACCTGGGATTGTGGGAAACACCCCTTCTGCTCCTTCAAATACTGAAGGCAGTTTTGTGTGTTGAATTCTTACAATAAATTCGTGGAATAGGCAGGCAGGACATGAGTTCTCTGATTGGTCTTTTCATCTCGGCATCAATCAGCTGTTGGTATCTGCACCCACCTCAATGAGCCCAGTGAGGCTGGCACCAGCAGGTGGCATGGGAGTTGTCTGTACGGCCGGCCTGAGACACAGGGCGAGTCAACAAGGCCTTGGAGAAGTAACTGATTGTCTCTGTCCCCACCGTCCCTAGAGGATCCTGACTGTACAGTCACCTCGCTTTGTTACCTTCCTCTTCTGAGCCTCAGTTTCCTCATCTGTAAAGTGAGGGTGTTGTAGTTCACCTCCATTGTGCCCTCACCTCAAATATTACCTCCCAGGGAAGGAGGAAAAGGAACCCGTGACCTCCTAAGATCATCTCACCCATGTTGCCAGCTCCAGACTGACCCGGACCTGACCCCTGTCTCGCTAGGCACTTTTTTTTTAATTTATTTTTTTATTTTATTGATTTTTTACAGAGAGGAGGAGAGAGGGATAGCTACGTCGATGAGAGAGAAACATCGACCAGCTGCCTCTTGCACACCCCCTGCCGGGGATGTGCCCACAACCAAGGTACATGCCCTTGACCGGAATCGAACCTGGGACCTTTCAGTCCTCAGACCGACGCTCTCTCTACCAACTGAGCCAAACCGGTTTCGGCTCGCGAGGCACTTTTACGTAAAAGGCTTGGGGTACCTGATAGGCAAGGTTTTCGTGCAGGGAACCACTGTGATTGCAGGAGCCCTACGTGAGCGTGCATTTTGTTGAGCCCCCAGTGCCCGGCGTGGAGTGAGGCGAACTGTTCTCCTGGAGGTCGATGGTGTCCGCGTTGCACAGATAGACAGCTTCGGAGGCAGGAAGCATCTTCTCCTCGCCAGGCCTGAAGCTGGGGTGCAGATGGCGGCCTCACTGAAGCTGTTTGTTGTCTTTGCCATTTAGGGCGTTACCTGCCACGCCGGGCCACGTCTGCCCCGGCCTGGGAGTTTCTTCGGAAGGATCGAGGCGCTGGGGACCCTGCGGGTGCTGAGGCCTGGCGCTGGGAGCTCTGGAGGGTGGGGAAGGTTTGAGCCGTGGCTCCCTTCTCTGGGGCTCTAGAGGCCAGGATAAACTCAGGCGGTGGAAACGATGTGAGGCAGGCGGTTCTGAGGGCCCTGAGGACTTCAGAGGAAGGAGGGGGGAGTGAGGAAGTAGAGGGGGGTGAGGGGTGGCCCGAGCGGCAGCAGGGGCAGCAGCTGGTTTTGGTGCGCGGGGAGCTTGCTGGGGACCCGGAGTAGATGGGCTGTGCAGGACCAGAGGGAGCTGAAGCCGAAAGGCAGAGCGAGGGCTCTGAGACCTCTTCTCCCCTCAGCTTGGGGCTGAGCTCATGCTCCCCTCCACCTTGCTTTGCCAGTTTCTCCTTGTTCTACCTTAGTGTCCGGCTTTGCTGTCATCCTCAACGAGCCCCCAAGGAAGGGCTCCCGCATGGATGTGTGACAGTACTTTTCCTCCCCCCGAGCCTCATGAGGCCACCCACGGCTGACCCACGGCTGGGCAGATTGCTGGTGGCCCCAGGGACTGAGTCAGGGCCCCCGGGTGAACTAAGCTGCGTGAGCCCCCTTGGGCCTCCGTTTCCGTCTGCACAGAGGAGAGTCGGGGATCCCGCCACCTCCGGAGTGACTGAGACCAAGTAAGGACCTGAGAGAACCGTGAGGCCAGCTTTCCTGCGACCTAACTTCCCAGACTTTGGTGCCCCTGCAGAGGGTCTGTGACCTGGCAGACTAACTGCCTTGGCCTCCTTTTGTTTCTGAGAGGCGGCCGGGGACAGGACGGGAGCGCGACTGTGGCCTTGTGAACACTTCAGAACCGAAATGATGGAAACCAGAAGAAAAGGGCTGGAAACATCCGGCCCGGAGGGAAGGCTGGAAACCAGGATCTGAGCTGGGAGGGAGGAAGGGAGGGGAAGATCCCCCATCCTCCCCTCCCCCCCCCCCCCCCCCCAGCAGGAAACTTGGTGCTGAGAACTTGCTATTTCAGGGGGCCTCTGGGGAGGCCTGGCCAGAAAGGAGCCATTTGAGGAAGGGTTTAAAATTAGCCGGGGTGAAACGGGTGGCCCCCGGGGAGAACCGAGGCAGAGGCTTCCGTGGGGTGGCTCTGGTTCTGCATCTTGGACCCAACCCGGGACCCGCCATCCCAGGGAGGAGCGAGAAGCAGGGCCCTGGCTGGGTGCTCAAGTCCTGGCACCTAGAAGCAAGTATCGCCTCTACCTGCCCAGGTGGGTCCCGGATGACCCAAGCAGGCCACTGTCCTTTGGGGGGTTCCAGGGAGGTCAAAGGCCCTCCCATCAGAGCATGGAGGAGGGTGCCTCTGGAGCCCACCCGGAGCCTCAGCTGTCCAGTGTGTCCCAGGTGCTTCTGGGAGCAGGGCCGCACTTAAGCACTGTGTAGACAAGGACACAGAGCTGCAGGCTGTGACGTGTACAGAGCCCACCCCCCCACCCCACCCCGCCCCGGCCCAGGCCTGGGAGCAGAGGCATGTCTGGTTAGGGAAAGGCATGACTGGAAGGAACGATGTGCCCTAAATGGCAAGGGTATGCTTCTTGGCAGAACACTCATGTGAGTGAAGAAACTTGTCCTTACCCATTTGTGACCAGGCATGGGCTGAGGATGGTGACACAGTTGTTTATGCTGGTTCCCACAGTCCCTCCCGGCTCTGTAGCTGAGGATGTGCACGCGCGTGCGTTGGGTGTAACTTTGCCCGGCTGCTCCAGGTTCCTGGTTCGGTCCATTGTCTACAGGAAGGCTGTTGGCCGGGTCCCACAGGCTGTCATGCAGTTCAGGAAGTCAGATTTGGCTGGAGTCACAGGATAGAAGTCTGGTGTCAGACCTGGCTTCCCCACCAGCTTGTCACCATGGTGAGGGCAAGCCTTGTAACTCACAGCATCTCCTGCCTCGTTTGAAGCTGGCAGGATCCTACTCATTCTTCAAAACTCGGCATAATTGTCCCATCCCCGACTCCTCACCCAGGTCTCGGACTCAGTAAACATCTGTGCCGTAGCAGCACTATAGTAGGCGCTGGACATGGAGGCAGGAATGCACCCCATTCCTGCCATCGAAGAGCTTACCTCTGGCCTCAGAAGCAGTGCCCGGGAGGTGGGTGGGTCGGGGTGGGCCCCTTGTTGAAGTCATCGCAGGCTGTAGCGCAGGACTTACGGTCCATTTACATCTTTGCCTCTCCCCTGGACCAGAAGGGACCTCTCAACCTGGGTCTGTGGGTATCTGCTACAAATGATACTCATTTTAACTGGTGCGTTTCGGAGGAGTAAGACACCAGGTGTGCTCAGGGGCTCAGAGGGGGCCTTGATCTGAGGAGGGATCCGGTCTGTGTGCTGGTTAAATGGGGCTCTCTCCCCGCGGCTGCTCCACGGCCGGCAGGCTTGCACAGAGGCTCTCAGCAGGTGCTCGTTCAGTGACACCTGCAGGATATACCTGGAGAAAGGAGAGGGCACAGGAAGGCCTTTGGAAAGTTAAATGCTTGTGCCCTGGCCTAGTTCACATGCTTGTTGCAGTGGTTAGAGCAGCTGCTTGCTCACTGAAGGGTCTCGGGTTTGATTGCTGGTCAAGGGCACATACCTCGACTGTAGGTGTGTGCCAATCAGGGTATGTGCAGGAGGCAACCAGTGTTTCTCATATCTCTCTCTCTTTCTCTCCCCCTCTCTCCCTCCCCATCCTCCCGCTCTTCACCCATTCCATTCCACTCTCTCTAAAAATCAGCCCTAACCAGTTTGGCTCAGTGGATAGAGCATCGGCCTGCAGACTGGAAGGGTTCGATTCCAGTCATGTCCAGGTTGTGGGCTTGATCCCCAGTGGGGGACCATGCAGGAGGCAGCCAATCAGTGATTCTCTCTCATCAATGATGTTTCTATCTCTCCCTCTTCCTTCCTCTCTGAAATCAATAAAAATATATTTTAAAAAATAAAAAATTTAAAGTAAATAATAAAAATCTAAAAACCAATGGGAAAAATATTCTTGGGTGAGGATTAACAACAATAACAAAAAAAGTTAAATGCCATGAATCTCTGAGTATTCATTTGTCTCGGCCTCCAAAGGGGGCCCAGGAAATGCCAGATTCCTCCCTAAACTCTGGGAGGGTTCCAGTTCCTTCCGGAAGGAGGGGCCATCATTGCTGTCCTCTGTCTCCAGGTCCGCACCCTGTTCGTCAGTGGCCTCCCTGTGGACATTAAGCCCAGGGAACTCTACCTGCTCTTCAGGCCGTTCAAGGTGAGTCTGGGCCCAGCCACCCCCGGGCAGAGCCTGGGACAGAGGCGAGGCGTCAGGAGGGAGGACAGAGTATCAGAAACGGTGACCACAGACCTGTCAATCCACATGCTGCTCCCTGTTGATCACTTAGCCCTTCCCAGCCTCTGTTTCCTCATCTGGAAAGTGGGAACATGGAGAATCTCCATAGAGTTTGCCGTATAAGTAATCTTTGAGATTCAGTGTAGCCTTTTCGATTTGCAGAGGGGAAAACTTAATAAGGCAAGATCTGTGCGTCTGGATTACAAGCTGGTGGGGCAAATGGGAATTTATGAGTGAAACGATGGTGACTGCACCAATGCCCACCCTCGTGGTACTCCGTGTGGTGCAGGTGGAGCGTGGAGGGCGCCCGGCAGTGGTGGAGGGCGGAGTGGGCGGCTGGGACGGCACAGCAGTGGCTCTGACCTTCCCTGTTAATGACGGCCTCTCTCTGCAGGGGTACGAAGGGTCCCTGATCAAGCTCACATCCAGACAGGTAATTTCTCTGCCAGGCTTTTCTGGGCTTGGAATGAAGGCTGTGCCTTTTACTCCGTCTTGAGGGAGCTGAGACCTCTCCCTGCATCCTGGCTCTGTCCTGGGCTGGTGGAACAGTGGCCTCCACGGGTCCCCTCTTCTTACCAGTCAGCTCCTGGTCCTCCCTCTCTCACTCTTGAGAAGCCACAACCTGGCTCGAGGCTGAGGGCCATTTGGGGTCTGGACTGAACCTTGGCGAGGTGAAGTTGGAGAAGTTTCAACCTGTTCCCCTTGATTGAATCTGGAACTTCCTCAGGCACTTGATATATTGGAGTCCCCTTCCTGGGAAAACATTAGAACTTACTCATTTTTAAATATGTGTGTGTGTGTGTGTGTGTGTGTGTGTGTGTGTGTGTATTAATTGATTTCAGAAGATAAGGGAGAGGGAGAGAGAGATTGAAACATCAATGATGAGAGAATCAATGATCGGCTGCCTCTTGTGCGTCCCACACTGGGAATCGAACCCACAACCTGGGCATGTGCCCTGACAGGGAATCGAACTGTGACCTTCTGTTTATAGGTCAATGCTCAACCACTGAGCCACGCTGGCTGGGCTGGAACTTGCTCTTAATTACCTGCATGCATTAAAAAAATAAAAATAAAAAGACTTATTGGAAGGGTGATGCTTAGTGCTGTGGGATAAAGCCCTGTTGGCATCATTTCCCACAAGGTGGCACCTGGGTTGGAGACTTTTGGTGCACGAGAGTCTTCCTTAGATCCCACTGAGCTTAGGGTGGACACGGGCAAGAGTTGCTTTTTACTATTTTGGTGTTTTTTTGTTTTGTTTTTGCGGGGGAGATGGAATGGTGGGAGAGGTGCAAGGGTGTTCTCTCTTTTTCCCGTTAGCCTGTTGGTTTTGTGATCTTTGACAGCCGGGCAGGAGCAGAAGCAGCCAAGAATGCGTTGAACGTGAGTAGATGGAGAGCAGGTCTTTCTCTGACCCACGGACCCCTGGGCATGGGGCGTCCTTGTCCTGTCTTCTGCAAACCTCCCCCCACTCCACGCCCAAGGAGCGGACCCGCAGACCTTGTTTCCCAGCCGCCCTGGGCCGAGTCCACGGCTGTGCTGTCTCGGCCAGACGTCCCTACTCACAAGGCAGCGTGTCCTCTGTGCTGGCCCCAGGCGGGCAAGTCTTTCCGACAAGATGGTTTCTGGGGCCCTTCTGTGCCCACTGCAGTGGGCCGTCCGGGTTCTACAGAGTAAAGTCTTTCCCTTCCTTCCCTCCCGTTGTAGGGTATCCGCTTTGATCCCGAGAACCCGCAGACCCTGAGGCTGGAGTTTGCCAAAGCCAATACCAAGATGGCCAAGAACAAGCTAATGGCTACACCGAATCCCACCAGCGCCCACCCCGCCCTCGGAGCACACTTCATCGCACGGGACCCCTGTGAGTGATTGGCGCCCAGCGGCAGCCTGCGCCCTGCCCTGGGCCTGGGCTCGGGGCTGCAGGGGGTTTGTACACAGCACAGGCACTGAGATTCTCACCGGGGCTCAGTCCACCTGCGTGCCCCCTTTGCCAGGAGGCTGCTTGCATCTACAGCTACCTCCGTCTGGGCTCCCCACTTCCGTCCTGCCTGCGGCCTTTGTTGGGCCTTAGACAGGCTCAGCCATCAGACTTCCCTGGTTTCTCTTGGTTGAGATGGGTGGAGGCCCCTCTGAGAGCTTCTCAAAGCAGACAAGACAGTCACCCTGCCAGGCCAAGTAACATGTCCTCTTTCTCTGGTCTTGAGGGGTATCTGGCCGACGAGCTTGTGCTTCAGCCATAGTGCTGAGTCCCCTTGTCTGTCTGGCGTGAGGTGGCGGAAGGGGAGTGTTCTGACGACGGGGCTGTTGTCTCCCTTCGTAGATGACCTGATGGGGACTGCTCTGATCCCCACATCCCCAGAGGCCTGGGCCCCCTACCCTCTGTACAGCACAGAGCTGACCCCGGCTATCTCACACGCTGCCTTCACCTACCCAGCTGCCACTGCTGCTGCCGCCGCCGCCCTGCACGCTCAGGTAAGCTCCCCCCAGGGGGAGGAGCAGGACGGGGCAGAGGGAAGGTCTGAGTCGGCCAGACTTCGTGCCTACCTGGCCTCTGGACCACGCATGTCTCCTGAGCTCAGCAGAGCTGCTGTCTCCCACAGCATGCCTTTAGGATAAGGTGACTAGATGGTCCCACTTTTGGCGGGACAGTCCTGATTTTCTACAACTTTTCCTGCATCCTGAGGCGTTTTAAAAAAAAGTCCCGATTTTTGGAAAGATTGGAAAGATTCTTTCCAAAAATCGGGACTTCTTTAAAACGCCGCGGGACACGGGGAAAATTCTTGAAAATCAGGACTGTCCCGCCAGAAGCGGGATGATCTGGTCACCTTACTTGAGGCCTTGGGCTCTGACCGTGAGGCCATGTTGAAGATTTAGGGCAGAGTCCTGCAGACCCGGCTGTGGTTCCACCACCCCCGGCCCCACACTGCACTCTGTGGTGACCGAACCACGATTCAGATCCCAACCCAGGTGTGGTCTCCGGAACCCTCCGCCTGCCTCTGCCTCCTCCTGTCTGTATGAACTTGAGAAAGCTCTTAAAGGTTGCTGTGCCTTGGTTTTCCTAGTTATTTGGAAAAGAATTCTTTTGTGTGCCTCGGGTTGTGAGAATTAAATGTCAGTGCCTGAGAGGTGCTGGAGCTGTACTTGGGAGAAACGTCCCCAGTGCTCAGCGAGGGCTCCTGTTTCCATGGAGCCTGGATGCTCTCCCTCCCGAACCTGCTCTGGGGCCGGAGAGAGGATGTGAGCACGGCCAGGAGGGGCGGGGAGGGCAGAGCTGGCCGGGAGGGCTCTCTGCTCAGCGAGGGCCGGCAGGCGCTGGAGAGGCAGACAGCCCCCAGCCCATTCCCGTGAGGCAGCGACAGGAATGCCAGCTGTGTGGATGGCACTGCCAGGCGGCACAGGAGGGCGGAGCAATGGCGAGCCCACCTCAGCCTCCCGTCCGTGGGGAAGAGGGACCTAGGGGGGCGTGCTGTGTTGTGGAGCAGGAGTGAGCAGAGGCCACAGACGCGTGGGGGCAGCAGAAGGCGATGGGGAGGAAAAGGAAGTGGGAGGCCCGGAGGGCGGAGTTCGCAGGAACTGGAAGCTGCGGTGGGAAGAGTCGGGGCGCTGGCCGGGTCCTCTGCGGCGCTCAGTGACCTCGGGGCTGCCGAGGGCCAGGGCGGAAGGTTCAGGTTCTGGGGCTGTTACCCCAACAAGCCCAGCAGGGGCACTCTCCAGCCACAGCAGCTTTAGATGGTACCACGGGCAGGAGTGTGGGCGCTGGAAAGCTGGTTGGGGGTGGGAAGGTGGTAACAATCTTCCCCAGAGGGAGATGTTGGGGCGTTTACCAGACTCTGGGTGGGCACAGAGTAGTTAGCCCGCACGTTGTCCGTCGTCTCTGACCTGGCGCAGTGTGGGAGGCGGGCAGTTGCACAGTATCCCGGCCACGTGGGGCGTTGAACTGCTGGGGTCCTCACCTGTGATCCCCACTTTGCAGTCCTCACCTCTGATCCCCGCCTTGCTCTGGTTAGCGGCCTGGTCTTTGGCAGGTGGCTTCACCGCTGGGCCTCCGTGCCTTCCTGTGTACGGTGAGCGGGCCAGAGGTTCTGGCTCATCTGCTCTGAGAGGCTGGGCGGTGCCCGGGACCTCGCAGAGGTGGGAGCTGGGGACAGGAGAGGGCTTTCGCCCTTCTCGGCGGGCCCCGGCTGGCTGAGAGAGGTATGCTGCTCCCTGCTCCGAGGGTTCTGTGCCCCCCTGTGGTCCTCCTTTCCAGCTTCCTCCCCCACTCCCTGCCTTGTGGTTGTCCAACTCTAATCCACTGTCTCATCCACATCCTGGCTCTCTCTTTTAACACCTGTGTGACCTGGGGCAAGTTACTTAACTTCTCTGTGTCTCAGTTTCGTTTTGGAATGATGATGATCATACCTACTTCATACGGCTATCCAGAGGGAAGACTAGAGGATACCCAGGTATCAGTGGCTGTTATTTAATATCATCGTTGTCTAGTTTCCTCACCTGGAGGCCTCGTTGTGCCTGAGTTCTGTCTCCTGGCTTCCCAGGGAAGGGATGAAGGCTGCTTCAAAGGGTCGTGGCATTTTGGGGGCAGGAGACTAACAGGAGGTTGGCCCAGGCAGTCACTAGTTCTGTCCCTGCTCCTCGCTCTCCGGAAAGCCATGCTCTCCGCAGTGAAACCTGTTGTTGGGACCAGATGCAGTAACAGGCATGAAAGCATTTTCCAAGTAGTAGCATTTTTCCCCTTTTCATTTCCAGAGCCCCTCCCCGCCCCTTCAGCAGGGCTGCCCCAGAAGCGGAGGTTGAAAATGGTAACTAGCCCTAGCTGGTTGTGGTTCAGTGGATAGAGGGTCGGCCTGTGGACGGAAGGGTCCAGGGTTCGATTCTGGTCAAGGGCACATGCCCGGGTTGTGGTCTTTATCGCCAGTAGGGGGCCCACAGGAGGCAGCCGATCCATTCTCTCTCATCATTGAAAGGAACTGTGGGCCACAAGGCTGCGGTGGGCACAGGGGCGGGTCTCAGCTCATCCTTTGCGCCCCTACCTAGCCCCTCTTGCCGCGGACCCCGACCCCTGTCTGCCAGCAGCCTCGCTCTCTCTCTCCGCTGCCGCTCCCACACACTGACGGTGAGGAGCGATTGGGGCCCTTTTGGGCCAGGGCCAGCAGCGGGCGTGAACCGGGAGGCGTAGAAACCCTCGGCTTATCGTGGTCAGGTCAGCAGCTGCTGCTTGCACCTGCTGACAGCACCGAGCGATCGGGACCAGCCCCAGGCCCCAGCAGCAGAGGCCAGCACAGGCAGTGGGTGTGAGCGGCGACTATGGTGCCAACAGTAGGTGCGAGCGGGGGGCCGTCGCCAACAGTGGGTGTAACAGGTGGCTGCAGGCCCTGATCACCCTTCAGGAGCAGGGGGAGCTGGAGAAGCCCTAAGGGGCAGTCGGGGTCATGGCCAGGCACTGGCAGCAGGTGTGAGCAGCGGCTCCGGCTCCAACAGCGGGTGCGAGTGCCCGGCAGGACCTCTGTGCACTGGAGCAGAGAATCTTCAGTAACAGAGGCTTTCCCTGATGACAGTGACCAGCGCCCCACCTTGTCCTGCACTCTGCCGCCTGCTGCTGATGCCCGCCATGTTCTCTGTGTGCCCCCTTGTGGTCAGCACACATCATAGCGACTGGTTGTTCAGTTGGTCTATTTACATATTATCCTGTGTGTGTGTGTGTGTGTGTGTGTGTGTGTATATATGTATATATATAAATACATATATATATATACATATACATATATATATATAAAAGGCTAATATACTAAGTGTTTGACTGTCCAGTTGGTCGCTATGGCATGCCCTGACCAACAGGGGGCAAATGCCCAACCCAAGAGCTGCCGAGCTGCAGTGACTTGGCAGTGGCGGTTCTCAGGTGACACACCCGAAAACCAGAGAGGATATAGCTTGATTCCTCGCAGGGCTGTGTGATTCCACCTTTGGCCGTGGGTTATGTTGTTGCTGGGGCACTGTTGGCCCTGAATGTAGTTTACTGCACACTTGTGTTTGTGTTCCACACCCTGTGTAATAACGACTGTGCAGAGTGCCCTCTCACACTCCCGACCCCTCAGGATGTTGGCGAGCCGGTTTGGGCCTGATCCCCGCAGGCCAGGCCAAGGGACCCCGCCTGCTAGAGGGCCCCTCGCTTATTCCACAGACACTGGGGACTATGGAATGTTGGCTCCAGGGTGTGTCTGGCCCATCTCCCCCAGGCCCACCCTGCTGGCCACCTTCTAATTAATTTCCTTTCAATGTGCACATATCCATGCACCAGGTCACTAGCCCTATAGATACTGTATCAGTGGTCGGCAAACTCATTAGTCAACAGAGCGGCAACCCGCAGCTGGCTTGCAAGCCACAGTTTGCCGACCACTGTCCTATATAATAAAAGGCTATATGTAAATTGTCCCCTCAACTGGGAGTTTGACCAGGAGTTCAATTAGGGGGTGGGGCCAGTCAGTCCACTGCCTGTGGCCCCTCCCCCCAGCCTTCCTGATTGGCCCTGATCTTGGCAGGCCGGCTGGACCCCACCCATGCACAAATTCGTGCACCGGGCCTCTAGTATATATATAAAAGCCTAAGTGACCATCCCACCGGTAGCTATGGTGCACACTGACCACCAGGGGCAGACACTCACTGCAGGAGCTGCTGAGCTGCAGGGACTTGGCAGCTGCAGTTTTTGGGTGATGCTCCCGGAACCAGAGAGAAGGGAGCCCGATTCCAGGGGGTGTCACCCAAGAACTGGCCCCTCACAATCCGGGATCCCTCGGGGGATGTCGGAGAGCTGGTTTCAGCCCAATCGCTGCAGGCCAGGCTGAGGGACTCCACCGGTGTGTGACTCTGTGCACCGGGCCTCTAGTCTATATATATTTAAAAAGAAAATGCCTAAATAAAGGGGTGGACAGTGTTGATCTGAAGAGAATTATTCTGAACCAGGCGACCAACAAAACTGAGTTTTTTATGTCTGGAGGCAAGGAGGTGGCAGCTAAGGGACAAGGGGGGGTGAAAAGCAGTCCTTCCTTTACCCAGGTGGGCACACCCCAAATGCCTGCCCTTTGCCAGGAGCTCAGCCAGAGCCCCAGGGACCGGACCTGCAGAAGGTGCTGGGAGATGGTTCGTCCCCTCTGTCTTGGCTCCACCTTCTGAGCCTCTTGATAGAATCTTCTCCTGCAAGAGGGTGAGGCAGGCAGGGGAGTGGCTGGCAGAGGCCCCCTGGGGTTCCATAAGCATTCGTTATTAGAGCTCTGTGTTTATTGGGAGGCAGGCAGGAGGCTTTTTTCTTTCTTTCCTCTGGCTTATCCTCCTGCTCCCTACAAAGTCGCTACCTTTAGTCCTTAGACTTGATAAGTAGTTAGGTGCGAGTGTGTGTGTGTAAAGCCACGGATAGGAATCTTTTATAAAAATTACTGGATACTCAATCGTTTTAAAACTTAAATTATGAGGACATTGTCCCACATCAATGAGTATAGGCCTATCTTCTAGATGCCCTGCCAGCCCCCCACGGGTGAGTGTGCCCAGCCCCCGTGGACGGTGAGTAGGTTGTGGACACAGTTCTTTGCTGCTGGGAGGCCTTGCGGCAGTGGCACCCTTGCTCGCCCCTCCCTGGGCACCTGTCCTGCTGTCTCCTTATCGTGAATTCCCGGGCCTGCTCCAGGGCCAGCAGGCAGACTGGCCGGTCTGGGCTCAGCGAGCCTGGGTGTTACTATAACTGACTCGGTGAGTGAGGCCCCGTAATTGTCGGCTGTTCCTATTGCTGCTGCTGTGGCTTCGCTCCTGTGCCCCCTTCCCTTCTGGGTGCGTCTTCTCAGTCGGTCCGGTGAGAGGGGACTGAGTCCCTGCCCCTCTCTTGTCGCTGCTGGTCCTCCCAGGACCTGGTTCGTCGTAGACACCAGGGGCCTGTCCGGGTGGGTATCTCAGGACCCCACGTCCCCCCCGTGAGCAGCGAGAGGCCCTGTGAAGGGACCAGCCACTCCCTCCCTCGTGTGCTGGCCCTGGGGGCAGGGGTGCCGGTCTTACTCGGAGCTGGGACAGGAAGGGACTGTGCTTTAGAGACTTATTTTTTTATTCCTCATCTGATGATACGTTCATTGATGTGAGAGAGAGAGGAAGGGCGAGAAAAGTGGAGATAGACAGACATCAAGGCATCGATCAATCGCCCCACCCAGAGATCAAATCCCGCAACCTGGGTATGTGCCCTGACCAGGAATTGAACCTGTAACCTTTTGGTGTATGGACAGTATTTCAACCAACTGAGCCACCCGGCCAGGGCTGGACCGTGCTTCCTTAGAGGACCGGCCCGCCGGCCCAGCTCTGTGTCTGAGGGGAGCGCTCTGTCCACTTCAGAGGGACAGCTGTCTGGAGCTCAGAAATGGGGTCTTTCCTCTACTTCCTCCCCAGGAAGGCGGCTGGCTCATCCCGGGCCAGGGGGACAGCGCTGCTTTGGGGGCGGGAATTCCAGCACCGCGGGGAGGGGGCCGGCTGAGGCGGCTGCAGGCGGCCTCGGCTCCCCAGCGGCGCAGAGGGCCAGGGGGAGGCTCCAGAGTCCCTCCTCCTCCCCCCACGCCCTGTCCTCCCACCCCCAGCCCGCAGGGCACCCACTCCAGGCACTGCCGGCAGCAGTGGAGCTGCTTTCCTCGTCCTGGTGGGCCTCCCACAGAGGGGAGGAGAGGCTTCCTCCCGCGCAGCTGTCAGCGGGAGGGGGAGCCGCTCCAGATGTCCGGAGGCAGGGAAGAGGCTGGAAGAGCGCCTGGCCCCTCTGTGTGGTGTGGGGGCAGCTGTGTCCGGTGACGGCCGTGCCGCAGGCCTGGAGCCCGTTGGTCATTTGCCTAAGACTTTGCCCGGCTGTGTGCTGTGTGCCAAGCATCCGGCATCGTCGGGCGACCAGCCCCTGCCGTCCCGCTGTGTGCCGGTGAGGAGAGCCCTGTGCTGTCAGAGCAGCACCTGGTGTAGGAGGGGGCACAGGAGCAAGTTCTCTGGAAGCTTCCTTCAGCCCCACCCGGCCCGGAGGGCCCAGGGCCCCGTGGGCGGCCGGGTCTGGCGCTGCAGCTGCGGGGGCCCTGTCCGGGAGCCCGGCCGCTCCTGCCTCCGTCGGCTCTTGTGCCGTCCCCTCCTTTCCGAGGGGACCTGGGCCCCGTCCGGTTCTCTCCCCGCTCACGCGGGTGGGACGCCACGGCCCGGCGGGCGCAGGCGGCCTTCCCCGCAGGGCTGGCGTGGCCCCTCGGACAGCCCCCGGGGGAGGGGGTCCTATCCTCCCGGACCGGTCTCTGGGGATCCCGCTGCAGGGCCTCCTGGACAGTGCCAGGCCCCCCTGCCTGCCAGGCCCCGTGGAGGGCTCAGCTGGTAGTTACAAACCTCCAGGCTCAGGAGGGTAATGGCGGAGGGACAGAGAGGTGGAGATGGGGAGGCTGTGGCAGTCCCTACAGACCCCACACGGACTGGAGGCCACCCCAGCGTCGCGCTCTCGTGTGGCGTCCTCCCGTTCTGTCTTCCTGGTGCTCACGGCTGCCTGTGACAGCCATCTCCCGCCCACAGCTGGATGGGGCCCCCGAGATTCAAAGACACCGAGGAGCAAAATCATATCGGGGTTTGGCCTCCTGTTGGGAATTCCGCGCCCTCCCAGCCAAGGGCGCAGGGCCCGTGGCTAGCACCCGGGCCTCCACTGCCGCACCCCACCTGGTCCAGCCGGCTCGCAGCAGCCCGGTCTAGTGGCGTGTCGGTCGCCATAACCGTTCTCTCCTCTCATTGGCCTTTGCCCGGCAGAGGAGGCGGGTGAGGGGCACGCTCCCATTTTCAGGACGAAGACACTGGTGCTGAGGTGGGTGTCTGGCCCGGCGCCTGCCAGCAGTGACGGAACCAGGACTCTGCAGGCACAGAGGGCTGTGCCCCGGGGCTCCCCGTCTGGGCGGGCCGCGCGGCCAGCTCCTGACGTTGCTTCTCTTGCAGGTGCGCTGGTACCCGTCCTCCGACACCACCCAGCAAGGATGGAAGTACCGTCAATTCTGTTAGTTCCTCAGTAAGTGCTGGCCCTGAGGTCCGGGGCGAAGGCCCCAGACCCGGGCTTCCCGCGGGGCCCCGGCTCCCCTCGCTGCGTCCGAGAGCCAGTGCTGCTCTGGGCACCGGGCACTCTGGCTGGTCCTCCCCTTCTCCTCCCGCTGTCACCCACCTGCCCATCCGTCTGGCTCACTCAGCACACTGGGAAGGCCCGGTTCCGCTGCATCCCACACCTCCGCTCACGGCCCTCTCCCCCCTTCCCCTGCAGGTCTTGTTACCACAGCTGGACGCTCCTGCCCCCCGCTGGGGAGGAAGCTGCCCGCGGGCCTGCAGCTTCCACCGGCTGGGCGGGGAGCCGCTGCTTTCCTCCAAAGACTGTGAATTTTAAGCCTGACTCAGTGGACTGCTTCCTGTTCCTCTCCCTCCCCTCCCCCGGCCCCGCCCCGCCCAGAGCCCTCCTCCCAAGGCCTCCGGGGAGGGTTCTGGGACACTCGGACCCGGTGCCGGGGCCTCCCTGGGGCCACGCGAGGCCCGGCCTCCCGTCCGAAAACTTGCTTTTTGTAGCTTCACCTCGGAGAAACAAGGCGTTTGATTTTGCATGTTTTCTGGCATGAATTAAGACACTTACACTTGTGTATATGTGAGTGTACAGTTTGTTCTCACACTGTGTCACCATAGCAACAGGTCCTGGCCTATAATGGTTCATCATTCCTGGTCCCGCTCTCCACACCCCTCCCCTGCACCCGCCCCACTCCTGTGGGACCCGCGCCTGCCGCCAGTTCCACCAGTTCCACCGCCCCACACGTCCCGGCTGGGCAGCCACGGCCGGCCTGGCAGAGGGTTCCTTTTCCGTTTCCCATCGGGGTCCCCCGCTCCCTCCGACGGGCTGGCCGCTGTTCAGAGCATCCCGTCTCTGCCCGTTCCGCTCACCTCTCCACCGCACACCCCACCCCCGCCACGGCTCCTCATTCTTTCCAAACTACGAAACCAACCGAAAAGTGAAAGTATTTTTGTACCCTGTGTAACAAAATATTTATGCATCATAAAGGATTTTTCATGTGTGTGTGCAATTAATTATTGAGGAGACCTTGTTCGCCCCGTCAGATACGTTTAATGTTTAGTTTGAGGCGTGAAGAAGAAAGGGTTTCCATTCTCCGGCCCGAACCTTTGTGTCGTGTCGGGCGTCCGTTTAAGGGGAACGAAGGGAAAATTGTGCAATTTTTGTTTTTTTGTTTTGTGAGCACATCCGTGCTTTGCCTTTGGCCGCGGCTGTGGCTGTCTTGCCGTTTTCAGACTTGGGAGACGAGGTGGCTGTTGTAATTGCTGATCCTGTGAGAATGTGAAACTGGATGATCTATGAAATGCAAAATAAATTTAAAAAAATCATCCACAGTCGCTGCTCTCTGACCTTTGCTTCCGCGGGGTGCAGGCTGCTGCTGGGAGGGCGGAGGTTGAGAGTTCGCGGGAGGAAGTGAAGTGGGCCGGCTGAGCGCGCAGCCTCCCCCTCCTCCCCTCCCTGGCGTGCCTGCAGTCTGCCAGGGAAGTGACTCCGAGGGCCCTACAGCGGATTGGGGCTGTCGGCTCACCTGTGTTTACGTTTTTTAAAAATATGTTTTCAGTGATTTGAGGGAAAGGGGGAGAAGAAGCGAGATAGAAACATCTATCTATGAGAGAAAAACATCCATTGGCTGCTTCCTGCACACCTCCTGCTGAGGACGGAGCCTGCAGCCCGGCAAGTGCCCATGCCCTGACCGGGAACTGAACCAGCGACCTCTTGTTGTGAGGGAGGACGTCCCACCTACAGGACCACACCGCCGAGCACCACCTGTGTGTGATTCATTCACTTCGTGTTCAAGTTCTGAGGACGGAACCGGAGGGCGGGCGCCCACAGGAAACACCTCCATTGTCCCAGGGGACCCCAGGCCTGGCCCTTCGTGGCCTGGAGCGTTAGGCCTGGAGAGGAGGACTGGCCAGGGGGCTGGGCTCGCTGGGCAGCGGCCCTGACGCAGGCTTTGTGAGGCTGTGCGAGGGGAGAGGACCCAGGCATGTGGGCTCAGAGATGGTTAAGTCCCCCGCCCTGCTGGGCCCGGCTGGAGCCGGAGCACGTGTGTGTGGAGGTCAGGGAACCCCTGGGCTGTCCCGGACCCGGTCAGGGTGCCCCCAGCTGTCCCTGCGCCTTCCCCTTGGTGACCGGTGCCTCAGTTTCCTTCCCTGATGTGGCCTGAAACCCTTTCCAGCTCCTGGAGGGTTGGGGCGGGGAACCTGGGCTTTGCTGGTTCTCTTTTCTCTCTGTGTCCCCCTCCCCACGCCCTTCACTGCTCCACGCTGATGCTGTGCTTAGCCTGGGGCTGGCCCTGTCACTTCCCACGTGCACCTCATGTGACTGGGGTGCCCCTCCCACTCCCACGTCGCCCTCTGAGTCCCAGGCCTGGCTGGGCGAGGCCCCGGAGACGGCTGCAGCCCCCACTGGCGCCTGCGCATGGAGAGGGCACAGCACCCCGGGCGGGCGGGCCCCTCAGGAACTGGGTGTCACGTGGTGGGTTACCTGGCCGCTGCGGGAGGCCCTGGGCGGGCGGAGCTGGTGGCCTTGCTGCATTTGGATCAGCCTGGCCAGCCCGCAGCCCCTCCTGGTGCTGGTGGGGAAGCTGCTCAGCCCACAGCCCCTCCCCGGGGCCAGGGCGGCACCTGACCTACTTTCGCTGTCAGGAACCTCTGGGTCTTCCCAGGCGGTGAATTATTTAGCGGGGCCTGGGCTGTGAGAGGGGCTCAGAGCTGCTCTATAATTTAATCCCCCTCCCCCGCTTCCCCGGGGCCGTCTTCACGCTTTGGTGAGCAGCCTCGGGCCTGGGGCTGGGAGGAGGAGCTGGAGGGGGGGAGGCCCAGGCCGCCCCAGAGGGGCTTTTCCAGCTGAAGGGCCTTTTCCAGTGCGGCCCCCACAGAAGCGCCTTGTGGACAGTCCTGTCTGGACTGGACTGGGGGGTTGATGAGCCTCAGATGGTTAAAGGGCTTCCCAGCGAGGGCGCAGCCAGGAGCAGCCAGGCCCGGCTCCCCGTCTGTCCCTGCTGTTTCCAGAAAGCTCCTTGTTCCTTTCCAGGCGTCGAATCCTGACCCGCAGGTGGGAGGCTTCTCTCCCGGGAAGGGTTTCAGGCCCCTGGGAAGACCAGGCTCTCTCGCTCAGAGGTCCCTTCCCAGCAGCACTGGAGACCGTCTCCACGGGCACACAGCCCCACCTCACCCACGCACACGCGCGCACACACACGCACACGCGTGCACACGTGCACGCAGGCACGAGCCTGGGGCCCAGTGGCTGCTGTTGAGGCGCCGGGCACCCAGGCCCTGGCCTGAAGCCGGCCCCACCCGCTGGGACGGGACACTGGGCTGTTGGTTCCTGGCCAGGCTTTTGGGGGTGAGACCTGCACCTCGGAGCCTTCACCGCGAGCAGGTCTCCAGGCCGCCCCAGCTCTCCGGGAACCAGGGCAAGGTGAAGGCGTGGCTCCATCGGGCCTGGAGGGCTCAGGAGGGACCAGGCTCATTTTTCCCCCCACCTTGGTCCCCCCTTGCCCCCGCCAGTGCCTGTCGTGACTCCAGCCCTCGGTCAGAATGTAAGTATCCCTCAGAGCAGGATTAGAGAATGTGCCAGAAGGGACCCTGGGGGGAGGGGGGGAAAGGAGGAGGGAGCCCACCCGCCTCTGCACCCAGGACGGCGGGCCTTGTGCCCCCAACTCCTCAGCGTGCTGCCTCCAGAGCAGAGGAGCAGCTGCAGAGCCGAGGGCCCAGGCCAGTGAGGCAGGGGCTGGGGGATCCCCGCCCTGGGAACACTCCAGGGCCGACAGGAAAGGGACGTGGACGCCTGAGCTGGCTCCCTGGGCCTCCCTGAGCATCAGAGCCCACCCACACCCGCTGGTCAGAGCGGACAGCACCCGAGGGCGCCCTCACCCGCTGCTGCTGCTGCTGGGCTGGGTGAGGGAGAGCCCTGGGGTGTCAGAGGGAGGTCAGTGAGTGAGGCCAGGGGCCCCTCAGTCATTGCCTTCATGGCCTTGGAGCAAGCCCAGCCTGGTCCTCTGCAGGGCCCAGGCCGGCAGGGAGCACACGCAGTGTGTGTGTAAATATAAAAATACATTTAAACATTTTTTTTTTATTATTTCAGAGAGGAAGGGAGGGGAAGAGAGAGATAAACATCAATGATGAGAGAGGATCATTGATTGGCTGCTTTCTGCATACCCCCTGCTGGGAACTGAATCCGCAACCAGGACATGTGCCCTTGATCAGAATCAAACCCAGGCCCCTTCAGTCTGCAGGCTGATGCTCTATCCACTGCGCCAAATCGGCTAGGGCTAAATGTGTATATATTTCTTTATGAATCTGTGCCCTTCTCTCACAGGGTTATTTATTGTGAGGGTTATGATAATATAGGAATGTGCCGAATGCATAACAGGTACACAATAAATGTTTGCTGTTGTTATCTTTAAAAAAAACCCTACGTTTTCATAGTTCATCTTTAACAGATGTAATTGAGTTGGTTCTTTGCACTCCTGGGTCATTTTCCCAATGGACCAATAGTCCTCAAAGGGTTTTAACCCCTCATGTACCTGGAAGGGAGTTGGAGGAGCAAGCAGGCAGAAGCCCCCAGAGCTAGCTTTTGGTATTTTTGGCATCTTTTGATCAAATCATTTTGACAATAGTGGTAGTAACACATTCATAGACTGCTTTATACTTTATACTTTTGTGCCATATCTGGTGATCCTCATCAAAGCCCTGAGATAAGCAAGAAAAGTATCCACTTTTTGTAGCTATGGAAACCAAAGTTAAAAAAGTGACAAGGTCCAGGCCGCTGTAACTCAGTGGTTGAGCGTTGACCTATGAACCAGGATCTCACGGTTCGATTCCCAGTCAGGGCACATGCTCAGGGCAATCTCAACCCCCCAGGGAGGCAGCTGATTGATGATTCTCTCTTCTCATTGATGTTTCTCTCTCCCTTCCTCTCTGAAATCAATAAAAAATATATATTTTTAAAAAGTGCTACAGAAAGCAGAAGGCTCAAGACCCAGGTTTTCTGGTGTCCCCATCCAGAGTGAAATGATCCTCTGAGCTCTGGGTCCCAGGGTTCCACAAAGGCCAGGGCTCCCGGGAGGCTGGAAGATCTCACTGGGACCACAGGAGCCTGGTCTGAAAGGAGCCCATGGTGACCAAACCGCTGTGGTTACAAAATAGGCTACCAACAAAAGTCCAAGTCCACAGCCATTGCTGTGTGTGGGAGGGAGGGAACACCCGAACAAGCGTGATCTGAGTTCAGAAATCTCCCTTTTTTAAAATACCTATTTTTATTGATTTGAGAGAGAGAGAAACGTCGTTCCACTTATTTATGCGTTTATTGGTTGATTCTTGTATATGCCCTGACTGGTGATTGAATCTGCAAACTTAGAGCATCAAGATGATGCTCCAACCAACGGGGCTGCCTGGCCAGGGCTGGGAATCTCTGAAATAGATTTGCTTCTTACTTTGGCCAGAGCAGGATTCTACAGGTGCCAATATTAACGGCCTTGATCTGGGTTGGATTATCTCAGAGTTTTCGAGCAGCTGCCTCTTTACCATGCTGGAGTGAGTCCTTTTAATCAAGATGAACTACTTGAGTTTGTTGTTTTCAGTCACTTATCGTGGGGGTAGGGGAGAGGAGCGAGCCGAGTCCCAGAGGGCCACCATGAAGCACTCGGTCTCTGTTCTTCACCCTCCGATCCTTACCATTGCCCGGTGTGATCTGGAGAACAGCCATCTCCACTTCGTGGACAGGAAGTTCCAGTTCAGCCGAAACCAGTTTGGCTCAGTGGTAGAGCGTTGGTCTGTGGACTGAAAGATCCCAGGTTCGATTCCGGTCAAGGGCATGTACATTGGTTGCGGGCACATCCCTAGTAGGGGGTGTGCAGGAGGCAGCTGGTCGATATTTCTCTCTCATCGATGTTTCTAGCTCTCTATCTCTCTCCCTTCCTCCTCTCTGTAAAATATCAACAAAATATATTAAAAAAATAAAAAAGAAAAAAAAGAAGAAGAAGTTCCAGTTCGGAGAGGGGCCCACGTCATGTTTGGCCTCGAGGAGCCAAGCCAAGGCCCTGAGCTCTGGGTTCACATCATCCCTGGGGAGGGACCACACCCACTTACCCGGCCATTCTCTCTTCGGTCCTTCTTCCTGTCCGCAAACG